ACCGACGTCGGCAGAAATCTAAAACCGGCGCCGAAGGGTCGCGCCGAGGGGGCGCGGCCTAGGCGCTCCCTAATGGCCGCCATGTGGCGGGACCAATTTGGAAGGGCCTCCACCATAATTGGCGGGTGTCGGCGCAGTACCTCCTGGGCACGACCCTTCGGCCTCGGGGGAGGAATTTGTGAGGATTGGGAAGTCCTCTGGGTGGTGGGAACACCTGGCCTAGCTGCCATGGCAGCATAGGAGGTAGAAGGAGTGGGATTGGGCTTTGGGACGTGTGGTCTGGTAGACTCGAGGTCCATATACCTGGTCGAATCCAGGTTACCCGCCGTGCCGCTTAGGGCGGGGGCACCTCGGGTTGAGTCTACCGGGATAGGGGAAAGCGTTGGGGAGGGAGAACGAGGAGGGGATCGTTGTTGCCTTAGGGCTATCCCTGTCCTGGCGGGAGCCCTAGGTTTCGGAATGGGTTTAGCTGGGATTGGACTCCCAGAGGGGGACGAAGATCTGGACGAGGAGGGAGTGACTGATTCTGTCGAGGAATGAGCCGAGGACGTGGTCGAACTATCCTCCCCCTCCGATCTGGAGGAAGGGCCTAGTCTGGGACGCTTGTCCTTATCGCTCGATGAGCCTCGGTCAGACTCGGACCTGGCCTTCTTCCGCGGCCGAGAGGGCCCAGAGGGATCGGTCAACGAAGGAAGGTTATCTTCCTCCGGTTCGATCCTCAGAGTCCTCTGGGCCGCGACCGAAGGCCCGGGCAGACTGTCCGTCCCGAGTCCCATCGAGCCTATACGAGCTGCTGGCGTTGGTTGGTATCTGCTTGATTGAGGCATCACCTGTCGTCCCTTGTGAGACGGGCCGGGAGTGCTGATGAGCGGGGGTGAATTTCCCCCAGACATGATATTAAGGTCTAGCAGGCTTAATTGGTCATTAGATCCCCAGGGAAATCAATTCGGTCAAGCTGAAGGTTTTTGCTAGTTACCGACCGACCATATAAATAATATTCAAAGTAAATTGGTAACAGTAAACAAAAATTGAATTAGAGTAACTAAATTTAATATTAAATAATAAGATTAAAAGACTGTAATTTAAATGGACTAATAACTATTTATGGGTATTGATAATCAAATGTACATTAAAAGATATGGAACAATAGTGGGGTCAGTGAGTATCCACCGCTATAATAATATACAATAATAATAAATGAATTCAAAAACTAAATATAATACTACTGATAATACTAATAATACCAATTCTATAAAACAACATTTAATTACGCTACTATAAATCAATAAATGAATAAGAAGTATAATGTGTGTAAATATATATGTAATTATATCTATTCCTCTTTCCGGCCAACACGGACTACCCCAGCGTATGTCGACAGACCGGTGGTCCCAGATTTGACGGTTCCGAAAAATATTCGGGACCGTGAAATCCCCACCTTCCGGTCAGCCACACCACACCCTGCAGCAACCCAGACAACCAAGTAATTAAAATAGAACAATAAATAAAATATACTACAACCTAGACAAAATTCCATAAAACTTGAAAAACCTGTAAACAAAAGGATGGCGGGAACACCCTACCAGAACCCTACTAAACTACAAAATAACAAAAGAAAACTAGATAATTAACTGAATCTAAAAGTGGCCACTTAAGAAGGTCGGCCGGTATACCAGAATTTACTATCTACGTAAAATGAAATGCTAAAAAAATATTATGCTAAAAGTGGGTAGATATGAAAAAAAATTTTTTTATAAAGCTACAGCAGCGCCAATTATTTACACAGTACTATATTACAAAAATCTAAATTAATTTAATTTAATTTAATCTAAATTGTAAAAAATAATGAATGAAACTAATCTAAACTATTCTAAATTTTAACTGAGCTAAACTGGTATTATAGGGGTTCCAGCGCCATCAAACCTTAATAACTAGACCAATTTACCGGGTTTAGCGACCGCCCCGCCTAACCCCGAGGGGTAGGAGAGGACTGGGAGTGACACAGGGAGGCCAGACTCGATGGCGCTAACGTTCGCCGGTTTTATATCCAAATAAAACGGCGACGCAGCTTTCACAGGCTGGTCGACACCTACCCGTATTAAACTGGTGTTTAAAGAAAGAAGTGTCGATCCACTTACCTGGTCCCGGGTCCCGCGTTTCACTGCTCGGAATGTCTCCACCCCGAAACAGCACCGCTAGATTCAACACACGCACTTTGGGCACACACAATTGCACAGCACAAACAATAGGGGCCACTTAGCCTGGTGTCCCGGGCGCTGCCCATTCTCCAGTGATCAATTCCCTTAATATTCTTATATGCACTGTGATCGACACTACACGGCCTGATGTACTTAGAGTTATCTATCCAACCGTACTCGTCGAACTCGACAAAGAGTTCGCCGTGCAACCTAACCCATGAATCAGCTCGCTGAGTTTCTCGCCGGATCTTCTCAGCGGGTCGCGTTTCCGATCCGGTAGTAGATTCATTCGCGAAGCAGCTGCTCTTGAGCTGTTAGGTCTCCCTCGGAGGCGCTCGGGTAGCTGTTAGCAAATCCCACCCCTTCTGGCTGAGCCTTTGCTCGCCCACCTGTCCTGGTGAAACTGGAAAGGCCTCCGGGCCACCAGTAATCCTTCAAACATAAAAAAAAATATATATCTATCCAAGTTTTTCTTCAAACCATGACTATACTTCAAAGATAAGTATCTCGTTCGATTCATAAAAACGAAAGAATAGAGAAACAACTCCACAAAGTGTTACATCCATGTACATCTAATTGAAATACGTACCACCAAAGTAATCAAGCGACCTTCTACTAAAAACGGAAATACTATTTATTTTTAAGCACCCTCTTTTTGTGTGTATAATGTTTTAAATTAAAAAATTTATTTCACAAAATTGGACATCCGTTTCATTCGTCTTATATTACAATATTATAAATAGAAACATAGACAAAAACTAGTGACAACGTCCGCATCAGTTGGCCAGATAAGATAGGTACCTAGGTAAGTAATTCGATACAAATTCGTAATGCATCGTTGTCTGTGGCCTTGGTCGTGTGGTCGTGATTTAATGGACGGCTCTCTACATTTACATAGGATTGCCAGACGTTAAAAAAATTCGAGAAATCAAAGGTTTTTTTGCTGTCATTTGTCTCTTTACTAGATTATAAATCTTATATGTAAAAACTCTATTCAAATCACTTAACCCAAATTGCAATATGACTATTTAGATCCTAAAAAAATCCATAAAATATTATAGCTCTAGATCTATTAGTAGCTTACAAGATTTCCCAAATAGCAATCAAATTTAAAGAACTTAAAGACATAGCACACTTCTTTGCTTACATTTTTTTTTTGCGATGTACTAATGCTGGCCTGGAAGCCTCTCCAATTTTACCAAGACAGATTAGCGAGCACGGGCTCAGCCAAGAGGGGAATGCCTAAAGTATCCGCATGTTTCCGCGTTCAAATTGTAGCCTTTTTGTAATTTAAAAAAGAGCAGGTGGTTATTTTTTAATCTAAACGACTTATTTTATAAACCCTATTATTTAACGGGTTTTTAAAACGTTTTTACTTTAAAAGAGCAACTCTAGAAATCGTCCACATAAAAACCGTTGCCTTTTGAACAGAATATGTTAACAAATTCTTAGGTAATATGCTATGTTATTTTATGAGGTATGGTAACACTTTTGGAGCTTTTTTTGTTTAGCTCCCAAACTATTGTGAGCTCAAACCAGAAAAACCAGATTAGGGGCGCCAATTCTAATTTTATGGCGAATTGAAGTCAGCACGATACACATTTATTTTGTTAGAAACTTTCAATTGAAGATCAACTTCGATTTTATTACACCAATCAATACTTCCCATATTGTGTTCATCAAAATTTTACAAAACTCAAATAACTTAAAACTCCTTCGTGTGTTTATAAGTAATTTAAAGTAAACATTAATTATTATTTTTTATTGCCCTTGTAGGCAGACGAGCATACGGCCTACCTGATGGTGAGTGGTTACCGTCGCCCATGGACTTCAGCAATGCCAGAGGCAGAGCCAAGTCGCTGCCTACCGCTTAATACTCTCCACAAGCCTCGTTTGAAGAAGGACATGTCATAGCGCTCGGGAAACACCGTGGAGGGAAGCTCATAGCCGGATGGTACGTTGCAAAAAAGACTTGTGGAAACGCACTGTCGATGAACGCAGCGGCTCCAGATAATATGGATGAACTCTGCTCCGATGGCGGGAGGTGCGATGATAAAAAGGAGATGAGGGGATCATCTCAAACAATTCCTCAGAGCACTCCCCATGGAAAATTAATACTTTTTAGTTCTCTTCTTTTTCTCCACCTTATCCCACTAGGTGGGGTCGGCACAGCTAATTTTTCTCTTCCATTCAGCCGTCATCTCAACACTCACTCCTCTCTCTCTCTCATATCGTCATTCACACACTCCATCCATGTCTTCTTCGGTCGATCTCTTTCCCCTCTACCTTGCACTACCATTTCCATACATCTCCTAGTCACATGCATCTTCTCTCTACGCATCACATGTCCATACCACGCTAACCGTCTGCTCCTTAATTTGTTTCTTACCGGGGCCACTTTCATACTTCCTCTGATATACTCATTAATACTTTTTAATTGAATTTATAAAACGCTCACTGACGTATATGATGACGTATATACTGCGGCTGCTGACTGGTGATGTTACCTAAGTCAGCCGGGTTTGTGCCAACGCTTGTCCCGAGTACTGTTTGCTTAGTGCGAGTTTTTTAACGTTCTCGATAGCGTAAAAGTTAACTCAAATTTGAATAAAGTTGGAACTTTTGCCTACGATAACCACTAGGAGCGCTGTAAGACGTCGTCGAAGGCTTGACGACCAATACGTTCTCTCTCGTGAACAAACATAAATACAAGAGCGAAACTCCGATATCACAACGTCAGGCTACATCAATAATACTACGGTACGTGTGCAACCGGAAGTTAATACAATAGATAAAATTCTTCTTCAACCTACGCGAATTCAAACGATGCCCATAAATGGCGTTTGTGGACCACAAAACCGACATGTTGCTAATAACATTATGTAATTAAATTTCGCGAACTGTTCTCCCGCGTCGTTTTTCATCGACGTAATCTGACTACCGATTCTTTTTTTTTATGATTGGAGGATTACTGGCCTTTCCAGTTTCACCAGGACAGGGCTACCGATTCAAAGGCATCCTCTACCTATGCAGTTGACCACGTAAATACGATGCTAACATCTGCCCACCATTAGTACGTACTATATTGAACAAATTTCAAGTTATGCGCATAACTTTATTTTAATTCCTTCTAGTCAAATAAATAAGACACCGTACACATATCGAGCAATACAATTACACCTGGTGGTGTTTTACTGGTGCTAGAACCTCTTGTGAATCCGCACGGGTAGGAACCAACCACCCTGCTTATTTCTGTCGTGAAGCAGTAATGCGTTTCGATTTGAGGGGTGGGGCAGCCGTTATAGATATCTATGGGCTCTGGTAATCTCTTAACACCAGGTTGGCTGTGAACTCGTCCACCCATCTAAGCAATAAAAAAAAACCAGTGTTCAAATCCCTCAATCAGTTTAACCTAACCTAACCTAACACGTGTTGATGAAGGACTTTCCTCGTTAAAACCAATAATATTGTTTAATCAAAGTCAAACAAACTTGCGATAGATTTCTGCCATGAACCAGTTTGCATTTTGAAAAATACGACCGACATTCAGTGAGTCTTTGAGCCAGTCATGTCTCAATATATGTGACGGTATTATGTGATGTTGATGAACTCCATTATCCGCTTACCATCAGCGAGCTCTTCTAACGACTAAGCCATAACAAATTTACAAACCACCATCCTTCAATTTGTTTGGT